GCCGGCGATCGCCGGCGCCTCGAGGCCGCCTACGCGGCGGACTTCGCCATGTTCAACTTCTGCGTCAAGCGTTAGATTGTGTTAAAAACGACGACGGGCACGACGAGCGCGTCCCCGGCGCCCGGCGCCAGGTAGGGACAGTCCGGCGGCGGCTCGCACGCGAAGGCCGCGGCGGACGCGAGCGCGAAGCCGCCGGGGAGCGACGCGCGGAGCAGGGCCTCGTCGGCGGCGTAGCCCGTGACGCGCGCGCCGGCCGCGAGGTGCGGTGTCACAGCGCGAAGGAACGTCCGCCAGCGGCTCGCGTCGCCGGCGTCCGCGGCGACGATGGGGAAGTCGTCGAAGAAGACGCGGGTATATGAATCAGTCGGCGGCCGCGCGAGGAACGCCTGCCACGTCGTCGCGGCGACCTCGAAGCCCGCGGCGGCCGCGCGCGCCGCGACGGCTTCGTCGCACTCCGCGACCACGTGCCTCCGCGGCCGCGCCGCGGCGACGCGCGCCGCGGAGAAGCCGAGGCCGTAGCCGACCTCGAGGACGGCGTCGTCGGCGCCGACGTCGAGCGCATCCGCGCACGCCTCCATGTAGGGCTTCTCCCAGCGCATCATCACGACGCGCGACGCGCCGACGGACGGGTCGCCGTCGAGCTCGAGCTGCTCGTCGCCGCGCGCGTCCCGGGTGACGCGGATGCGTTTCGTTGTCGGCGGCGCGTCGCCGCGCTTCCGCTTCGCCGCGTCGCGCAGCGCCGCCAGGCGCGCGCGCCGCGCGTCAGGTGGTTCGACGGCAGCCTCTTTTTGCTCGTTCGTCGCGGCTGCCTCCGCGTCGTAGCTACGCCGCGCTGCGTCGAGTTCCAGCGCTTCGCGGCGCGCTCGCAGCGTCGCTAGTTGCGTTGAGTACGGCAGTGATTTGCCTCCGGAGAGCGTCTCCATATGCTCTCCGGCCGAGCCAAAAACCCCCGGCGAGAGCCGCGGCGCTCCAAGAACCCGAGACGCGCGCGCGTGCGCACACACGTTCCTCGACGCGCCTCTCCCAGGTGCGCTCCATGCTCTCCCCGGCCGCACCAAACCCCCGGCGACCGGGCCGCTGCCGAGGAACATTCCAGGAGCTCGAGACGCTCGCCTTGGACGCCGCGCGGACCGCGGACGCGAGGCCCTCCATGTCGGGGATAACGACGTCGAGCGCGTCGACGCGGTGGACGTCAGCGAGGATGGTCGTCACGTTAGACGATACGGCGTCGGTGACGACGGAGACGACCCAGCTGGGCGCCTCCTGCTGGATCGCCTCCTTCTCGTGTCCGACTCGGAGTCGCCTCCTTAGGAGGGAAAGGAAGCCAGATCACCGTCGAGCGCCACGACACGATCCTGGACCTCTGCGCCTGCGTCATCTACGGCCACGAGGTCGCCGTCATCGAC